ATGATCCATGGAATAAATTGATAAATTAGATTTTTTAAGAGTTCAAAACATTTTCTCTGAGGTGGAAGATTCATGCAAGATTTTGCTAAAAGAAATAAAGAACACAAACAGTAGAGACAGCCCATGTTCATGGATAAGGAGAAAATACTATTAAGATGTCTACACTAACCAAAGTATTTATAGATTCAGTACATTCGATACCAAAATCTCAATGTCGTTTTTTGAAGAAACAGAAAAATCTACTCTAAAATTTATATAGAATCTCAAAAGACTCTCAGATAGCCAAAACAATGTAGAAAGACAAAAGCAAAGTTGGAAGTCACACAGTTCATGATTTAAAAAATACTACAAAGCTATAATAATTAAATCAGATGGTACTGGCATAAAGACAGGCATATATAGTGATGGCATGGAATAGAGTACAAAAATAGAATTCTTAGGGGCCAGGTACTCATCAGTAGTACTGCAGGACTAAGCTGAACCTTTTGCAAGGGCAAAGGAATAAAACCAAAAGCCTAGAAGTAAACCCATGAATCTACAACCAAATCATTTGAGAAGATGATAAGAACAGCATTGGCGAAAAGACAATTCTTTTCTGGTAAAAATGAATTTTCACATGAAGAAGGAAATTAGACCCTTATCTCTCACTAGTTATGAGATAAACTAAATTGATTAAAGACTTACATGTATGTCCTAAAACTATTAAACCAGAAAAACAAAACAGGAAATTTCAGGGCATTGAAATGCACAGGGATGTCTTGAAAATGTGTTTAAGCTCAAAAGCATAGTAAACAAAAGAAAAAATAGATAAATGATATTACATCAAGTTAAATTCTTCACAGAAAGGGTGGGGAGTTAGCTCAGTGGCATCAGTGCCTGCCTGCCAACTACAAGGTCCTGAGTTCAATCCCTGGTACCACCCCCAAAAAAATCTTCACAGAAAAGGATGCAAACAAGCAGAGTGAAAAGATAACATACAGAATAGGAGAAATATTTACAAATCATACATTTGACAAGTGGCTTATACCCAAAATAAGTAAGAAATTTCAAAAATACAATGGCAAAAATTTGATTAAAAATGAACAATATATCTAAACTGACATTTCTCAAAGAAAACATATGTATGACCAACAGGTCATAGAAAAAATGCTCAGCATCACAAATCATAAGGGAAATGAAGCACAAAAGTATGATATTACCTTACCACACAAACAAGGATTATCAAGAAAGATGAAAGATTGTAAGTTCCACTGATGTGAAGATGAAGAAAAGGAAATCCTTTTACACAATGCACAGGAGTGTAAATTAATATATTCATCATGGGAACCATATGGAAGAACCTCAAAAAATAAAACATAGACTACCATAGTGTCCAGCAAAACCCCTACTGAGAATATATTAAAATGGAATAAAATCAGTATTCCAAAAATTACTTGCACACCCATGTTTTTAATGCAGCGCTATTCACAATAGCCTAAAAGGGAAACAACATGCCTATCAAGTAAAGAATGAATAAACAAAGCACACAGTAACTGTTTTTGGTTTTTTTTTTTCTTTTTGGCGGAACTGGGGATTGAACTCAGACCCTTGCTCTTGCCTGGGAAGTGCTTATTCTATGAGCCATTTCCCCGGCCCCAACTTTTTCTTTTTCTTTTTCTTTTTTTTTTTTTTTTTTTTGGCAGAACTGGGGATTGAACGCAGGCCTTTGTGCTTGCCAGAGAAGCACTTATTCTACTGAGCCATCTCCCCAGGCCCCAAGCACACAGTAACTGAATACTATTCAGTCATAAAAAATAATGAAACCCTGTCACTAGTGATAATAGGTAGAATTGGAAGTCATTAAGTAAAATAAAAAATTAAAAAAGACAAATGTCATGATCTCACTCATGTATGAAATCTAAAATAAAAATGGTCTCATAACACAAGAGCACAATGAAAGTTATGAGAGGCTGTAGAGATTAGTGTGAAGGAAGGAACGGGATATCAATCAATGAGTTTTGTTTGTTTGTTTTTGGTGGAACCAGGGATTGAACTCAGGTCCTTGCGCTTTCCAGGGAAGCACTTATTCCACTGAGCCATCTCCCCAGCCCCAATCAATGAGTTTTGAATTACATTTATATAGGAGCAAGTAGTCATGGTATGCTGTTGCACAGTAGGGTAAATGTAACTAACAATAATGTCCTATACATTTCAAAAAGCTACAAGAAATAATTTTGAAAGTTTTCAACATATAAAAGTAATAAATGTTTGAGGAGATAAATATTGTGTGTTAAACATTAAGCACTGTACATATATATACTCATACATAATGTGGTACACATATGTACAGTTTTTATGTATCTTTAAAATTCTTAATTAAAAATAAGTGTATTAAATACAAAAAAAATGAAAGATAAAGAAGAGTATAACAATAAACACACTCATAAAATTAAATGAGCTTTTAGAAAGGCACCAAGATCATCCAGGATGAAAAGGACAGTCTTTTCAACAAATGTTACTGGGAAAACTGGGTATCACAAGCAAAAAATGAAGTTGGGTCCTTACCTTGTATCACATATAAAAATTAAGACAAAATAGATCAAAGACCTAAAGGAAAGAGCAGAACTATAAATGCTTAGAAGATAACACAGAGAAAAGCTTCAGATGGGTTTTTAGATAGGATTGCAAGAGCATAGTCAACAAAAGAAAAAATAGACAAAAGGACAACATCAAAATTAGAAACATTGTGCACCAAACGACACTATCACATAGTGAAAAGGCAACCCACAGAACAAGAGAAAAAATATTCACAAATCATGTATCTGATAAGGGATTAGTACCTAGAATATACATAGAACTCTTACCATTTAATAAAACTAAACACTTCATTTTAAAAACAAGAGACTTGAATAGACACCACTCCAAAAAGATACAAAAATGTCCGAACGTGCATGAAGCACTAAGCATTAGGAAAATGCAAATCAAAACCACAGAGAGATACTACTTCATGCACATTAAAGTGGTTATTATCAAAGAAACAATCCCAGAAAAATAGCAGGTACAGCTAAAGGTGGAGAGAAATTGTAACTCTTGTGCATTGCTGGCTGGAATATAAAATGGCATAGTCTTTATGGCAAGTGATACAGTGCTTCCTCAAAAATTAAGTGTACAATTACCACATGATTTCACAATTGTACTTCTGGGTATATGCAAAAAAGAAATGAAACAATACTAAAACTTGTCTGTATCCTCATGTTCACAGCAGCATTATTCACAACAGCTAAAACATGGAAATATCCTAAGTATCTATGGGTAAGTGAATGAATTAAGAATGAGGGACAAATGTACAATGGAGTATTATTCAGCCTTACAAAGGAAGGAAATTCTGACATATGCTATAATACAAATAAACCCTGACGACATTATGCGTAGTAAAATAACCTAGTGACAAAAGGACAAATATTGCATGATAGTACTTATATGAGACACACAGAGTAGCCAAATTCATAAGGATAGAAAGTATTATAGAGGCTGTTAGAAGGTGGAGGAGAGAGAAAGAAGGTGGTGCTTAAAGGGTAAATGGGTTAAAAAGTTCTGAGGATGGATGGTGGTAATAGTTGCTAAACAACGTGAATATACTTAACGCTACCAAACTATATACTTAAAAATGGTTAAAATAGATAACTTTATGTTATACATATTTTACCAAAAGAAAAACAAGTTAGCTCTATAAAAGACACTGTTAAGTGAAAGAAAAGATAAGCTACTGACTGTGAGACAATATTTATAAATCACATATCCAATGGAAAATTGTGCTTATGATCTATAGACTCTCAAAAGTCATCAGGAAGAAAATAACTCAGTGATAAAATAGAAGAAGATCTGAACAGACACTTTTACCAAACAGGATATAAGGATGGCAAATAAGCACATGAAAAGATGTTCAACATCACTAGCCATTAATGGAATGCAAATTATAACAATGAGGTATCACTTCACACCTATCAGAACAACCAAAATAAATACTGAATATTAAGTGTGGACAAAGATGTAGAGCAACTGGAACTCTTATACATTGTTCATGGAGATGTGAAATGATAATAGCCACTCTGCAAGATGGTTTGGCAGTTTCACATAAAGTTAAAAGTACACTTACCATATGACCCAGAAATCCCACTTCTAGATATTTACCTTAGAAAAATAAAAACTTATGTTCATACAGAAACGTGCATAAGAATGTTCATATCAGTATTATTCATAACTACTGTAAAGGGAAAGCAACTCAAAATCACTTAAGTGGGTGAACAGACATACAAACTTTGGAACAGCTATATAAGGAACTTTATAATTTATTCTGCAAAATGAATGAAACACTGACACATACAATTTGGATGAATCTCAAAGGCATTAAAGATGCCAGTCTCACAAGGTTATACATTGTATGATTCCATTGATATGACAGTCTCTACAAGAGAAATCTACAGTGGTGAAGAACAGGTCAGTGATTGCCAGCAATTATGGGTAGGAGTTGAAAATGACTATAAAGGGATTGTATGATGGAGCTGTTCTCTCTCCTGATTGTGATGGTGCTTACATGAATTTATATGAGTTATAGTTCATAGAATTGTACACATAAAAAAGTCCCATGCAATTCTACTGTAAGTTCATTTTGAAAAATAAAATATTAGCTATTATATTATCACTATCACCATCATCATCAATAGTTATACCTTACTAATAAAATATTCATAATTATTTGTGAAATGGGATCTAAAAATCAGCAAGGTCAACTGATGCCAATAACTTAAGGGTATATAGAGAAAAACAATACTAAAGGTTAAAGCTTTACAACTTCTACTAACTCTTCTAATATTTTATATCAGGATAATATGTTGTATCTGGATCATTTCCTATAAACATTATCATTACTGAATATGGAATTACATAAGTGTTCAACTTAGAAGTCTGGAACCCTAGTTTACATTCCTAAATCTAACACTATAAGAAAACTCTCGACTTGCCTTTTGTGCCTAATTTTATCTTCCTCTTCATTGAGGTCATGTACTTGTCTGCACTTGTCTTTTTGTGGTATGCTGTGAAGGTTTAAAGCAAGGAATTTCAAAGATAGGAAACAGAACAGATTCATACACCCCACCACCACCCACCCAAACACCAGGTATCCGCTCTTACTGACTTACACGTATTACTGCATTTAATCTTCCTAACAACCCTGTAATGTATCTACCATTAATACTCCAATTTTACAAGTGAAGAAATTATGCATAGAGAGGTAACTTGCCCAGCAACTAATAGCTAGTAAGTGGGGGAGCCAGGATTTTCTCAAGCCCTTTGCCTCCAGAGTCCATATTTAAAATCAGTATGCTATAATGTCTCTCTACAAAAGGCTGATCATTTGTTTATTCATCCCTCCTTCACTACTGCTCTGCCATGTGTATTATCATTCATTTGCATGATTTTAACATATCATCTAATCCTAAGCAGAGATGACTCCCAGTTCTATATACCTAGTTTTGACCTGTCTCCTGAGCTTCATTGCTTTATTTCTAACTGTACCCTCAATATCTGCATGTGATGATTGCCGTTCTCACAAACTCAACATGTTTAAAATCAAATTCATCAACCTTCTTCAAAATTTTCCCATAAAAGCTTTCTTAATTTTGCCATTTGGTATGTCACACAGCCTTGAAACGTCTGGGTTATCTTTACCACATTCTTCTTCATTGACTCTCCTTTCATTTTCAGTCAACAAGTTTTACCAATTCTTTAATCTCTCTAGTAATCAAACCTATCTTGTTCCAATTCTACTGTCATCACTCTAGTAAGATCTTCATGTTTAAATGACTATAAAACTTCCTGATCATTCTCTCTGCATCCATTTCTTCTTCTAATTCTATTTATTGGTCACCACATTAATCATTTTCAAATATGACTTTTATGTTACTCTTGGCTCAAAAATGTATTAACTTTATTCAAACTTAGTGAAAAAGTACCTCTGCATAGCTACATGCATATAATCAATCAAATAAAATCTAAAATTCTTAACTACATTTTCAACATTGTTTTTTACAACTTGCCAAGTCAATAGTAACCATACCAACTACTGTAACTGAAATGCCATTCCCTCTCCTTTCTGAATAGGTAGTATTAAAAAATATATTTAATTCTTACCTCCACTGAGAGGCCTTCTTCAGTCACACCAATAAAACTCTATATTACTATAGCACTTAGCAGTGGTATCTGGCATTGTTACTAATTGTTATATACTAATATCTCCAACCAGACTATACCTGGCACAAGATCAGGACCCATTTCTTCAAGTTCTGTGAACCTTCCACAGTGCCTAATAAAACTGGAATGTTTAATTCTTTGTGGTTAAAACATGTAGTATTCACATACATATTTTGTGCTATTATTTACCTCAGTTTAAAGATCCTTTACAGTCTGATATCACCTTCATTTCCTATGTTATCATCACCCTGCCATATGCTATTGCCTTATCACATAGAACTGCTTATTGTTCCCTAGATGCACCAGGTCCTGTCAGTGATGTTCCTATTCACTCACTATCTATAATACCCTTTCCCCTTCATCTAGAAATGGGTGGTGATCTGTTAAGACAGTATAAATGTCAACTTCTGACTCCCCCAACTAGACTTAGATGCTCTAGTTTTGTGTTCCCTCAGCATTTCATTTACATCTCTATAATAAAAATTTCCATGTTGTCATGAAGTTAACTACGCATATATTTTTCTCTCTCATGGGACTATATGTTTCTTAGGAGGAGTAATAACTTGTCTTTCCTCTATTCCCTTCACTATTTTTTCACAATTAATGCTCTGATGTCAAGTCTTTCTCTCAGTGATTAAACATATTAAAGTCAGGGAGGATCACATACCTTGGTAATAAAGAGCCTTAAGGAAAGAGTGACGATCAGCTCCCTGAAATAAAGACTTTTCTATTTCCATTTCTCGTCGGGTCAGCTGTTTGCTCTTTGAGAATCTCTGTGGCAAGCAAAGGATGCGCTGACGCTCTGAGATTCTTTCTTCAATATCTTGAAGACGATTCTGTATTGCTTCAGGAGTTGCTCTCAGCTTTGTCCTCTGTAATCAGGGACATAAAATAGCATATATCACAGAGGACACATGGTAAAAGTGATGATCTGGTGCCTCAGGTGAGAAAGATGATTAGGGCCCAGAAACTGAAAGTGTTTACCGGAAGTGCTTGTTAGGAAGTTAGTAGCTTATCTTTTGCCAGTATCTATCCCACAAAACCAAAGAAGATTCATACCCAAAGCTCAGTTTTGTGAGAACTAAAAATGAACAATGTCAAAAAGAGATCCTATTCTTTATTCTCTAGGAAGAAAAACACTGCCCCACTCACCTTTTCACCTGAAATATGGCTTTTCCAGATCATGATTTCTGTTTCACTGAGTCCTAGTTCCCTGAGAGAAGCAGTCTCTTGGTCCTTTTCATGCAGTGTTTGGAACTCGGACAAAGTCATAGTCCCAGCTGCTTCTTTCCCAAAGGGCTTGTACATAGTACCAGGGGCAAAACTTTCTTTCTTAGAGACACATCTATAAAACAAAAGACAGGACTAAAAACATCTTGAGGTTATCACAGTGTAAGGAAATGAGAGCTTACCATTATAAGAAGCACAATGAAACTAAGTGACAATTTTTCCTTCACATCCTATTTCTAGGCTGAAGCATCATTGCAACAAAATGCAACTTCATCAATGTCCCCTCTCCCAAGACCAACAAATAGCTAAATCAACAAATATTTACTAAATATCTACGATGCATAAGATGGTGTTCTATACAATGGGGAATGAACATATATGAAAGAACACAAAAAGGCAAACTGGCAATGACAATACTGAGTTGTAACTTATGTTGGGGGAAAACAGAGCACTAAAGAAGGACTTAGGAAAGGTAATTGGTCTAGATTAAGTGGGACATGGGAAGCTTCTTAGAGGAAGAAACACAGAAGTAAATATCTGACTAACACATAAAAGTCAACCCAAAAAGGCAGAAAAATGAGAAAGGTGTGTTCTTTTCGGGTTTTAAGAGAGGTCCATCACCTGGAGTTGAGGGTCTATGAGTCTATGATACTTTGCCTGCTTACAAAATCAATACCTACTCCTCAATAGAGACAGAAGTATCAAGTTGATGCTGAAGAAGGCTCTTCAGCTGCCTCTCCCCTTCTGTTTCCAGCTCCTCCAGGACATGGTCATCACTCTTCACACAGCTATTAACCCTAGGGAGGATATAGGAAGAGACACAAAGAATGTGACATGCAAAGTTAAAGGATGGAAGCTTTATTAGCTTGCAGTTTATAAATGTTACAGTCCATAACTGGCCAGCTCCAAGGCAGGGTGGCTTGGCAGAGGGGCATCACAGAAGAGAACAATTCATGGCACTCCTCCAAGGTACCAAAAGCAACAAAAAGCTTTAACAGCATCTTTCTGCGATTTTTATGCTATCCAGTCTCCCAGGATTATGATGGTGCTAAACCATTCAGGAGACCAATTTCGTAATCACACATCCTTAATCCCAGCATTGCACCATGAATCAGTCACACTCTAGATTCAGAACCTCTGAAAAAGTCCACATATGACCACATGAAGCTCTGCAGAGACATTTAAACACAAGCCATAACAGAGTCTGAGAACGTCTTCTGTATATTACCTGTCATTAATGATGTTTATTCAAAGACACTTCTTTAATGATCCATTGCCCTTTATCATTCAATCCACCAACATTTACTCAGTACCTACTTACACAGAAGGTATTATATTAGGCAATAACTGTAGTCAAAGACTCTGAAGATGCAATTTTTATCTTGAAGAAACTTGTAACCTATGTATGGAGTAATGTGTTTGTGTTGGGTGCATGTGGCTGGGGAAGATAGAATGTAAAGAAAAATGATAGAGAAGTTTATGCCAAATCAGTAAGAGCTGAGGGATGGGATTTTTTTGGTGGTATTAGGAATTGAAGCTACTAAATCCTTTGCGCTGAGGTTCAGTGAGCTTAATCTTCATTTAGCACTGTGTCACCAAATTGCCTGGTAAGCTACTTTCTTTTTGTTTTTCACAACCAATCCTTCAATTCCAGTTTAAAAAGACCATCCTGATCCCAGCACGCTGGAAGACTGAGGAAGGATTGTAAGTTTAAGCCCATTGTGGGAAACTTAGTGCTTACCAAGACCTTGTCTCTAAAATAAATAAGGAATGGTTAGGTGAACAAGTTAGACCAGGGGCCTGTGGAAACATGAAGAGTCATAACATATTATAGCCGAGACACCACTGTGTAGAAATCTAAGTAATGGTTAGCATGAACCAGCTAAAATAATGAAAAATTCTTATTAGAATATAAAGAAATAACAGGACTATTTATACATGCAATGACAGATTATAAAAGCAAACAAAAAATAAACCAGTTAACTCTATGAGGAAATATTAAATATCTAATACCCTCCTTATAAAATCCTTAACCAGTAGGACTGTGATAACATATTTAAAAACCCTGGTAAATTTTATTTATTTAGTCTTTTTGAGACAGGGTTTCCCTATGCATTCAGTGGCTTTGAATTTACTTTGTAGCCCAGGCTGGACTTGAGCTCACCTTGTAACCCAGACTGGCCTCAAACTCGAAGCAATTCTCCTGCCTGAGCCTCTAGCTATGTGCCCCGCAAAACAACTCTGCAAAACAACCCTTTATAAATATAAGCAGAGTGCACATGCTCTGGAAAGAGTTGGGCCTATTTGGGGAAATTTTAAAGTATCTTTACATCCTTTTAAGTATCTTAATTTTTGGTATTTAGAATTCCAGAAGTTCTTGCTAAATTTAAGAGTTATTTTTATTCTTTTGTCTTATTTGAAACAGGGTTTTGCTATGCAATTCAGGATGGCCTTGAGCCCACTTTGTAGCTTTGGCTGGTCTCAAACTTGCAAGGATCCTCCTGGCTCAGGCTCCTTAGTGCTGATGTTACAGGCATGTGCCAGCATCCCCAGCTTTAAGGGTTGTTTTTAAAGTGAATATCCCATAGCCAAATATATCAACACATGTGAATGTCAAAAAGAAATGCTGAGTTTCAAAACAGAACAATTCATCCAATTATGTGTCCTCCTGTATAAAATTGAAAATGGGTAAAAGTAGAAACATTTTGCTCAGGAATAAACTAGTATATGGAAAAAATATTTTTAGGAGAAACAAAAGACAAGGAATAATGAAAAATTCTGGAAAGGAAAAAAAGGGAAGGGGAGAAGCAATCAATGAGGGGGACACAAAGGACTTCCAAGGTACAATATCCTATTTCTTAAGCTTGTAGTGGTTACAAGCCTTTAGGACTATTTTTTGAACTACACATACACACAAATTATATGCATTATTTTTCACTGAAATACACTGTTAAAATTTACAGGTGCAAAAATATTTTTTTTAATATGCAAAGAACTGAAAACGCAAAAGAAAATATCAGCAAGTACTTTAAATTCATCATATTATTCCAGAGCGGTGATTCTCTTGTAGAGTAAATACAAAAGAAATTTAATAAAGATCCTTAAAAGGCTTTCTGTCCTGTCCAAAATTTTTAGGCTCTGGCTCTTACCAAGGACCACCTAGTTGCAAACTACTATTTACTGAAGAACCAGCAGGGGGCACTGCTTAAAACAATGCCTTTTTTTTTCCTCTTTAATACAAACGAGTCGGTTTCATGCTTTCCTTAAAAATCTGTCAAAACAGATCATCATTTTCTTACTTTAAGATTTTAAAGCGCTACTTGGTTTTGGAGCCCCTGCAAGATACAAATAAATGCACCCATCCTGAGCCCGTCTCTTAGTATGAGGGGGAGGTAGGGCGGCCCGGGAGCAGTTGGCTTGGGTATTCCGGCCGCAGGAAGGTGTCCGCTAAAACCTTTTAGGTCTATCAGACACAGGAACGAGCCGCAGCACCTAGCAAGCACCTGCGGCTGTGCCCGGAGGCCATTGTTCTTGAAACCATCCAGGCGCGGCCCTTTTTGAACTTCACCCGGCAGGCCAGTCTAGCCCGTGTTCCCCGCTCCCTTCTCCTTGGTCTTCCCGCTCAAAAGAAACCACCTCCCAAGAGTGTTACATACTCCTAACAGAAAATCGGAAAATCCATCCTTCAAAGTAAAATGTAAAACAAATCTCTTCCCGCCTTCACCTCAGACAAACCCTTACCTCTTCATGTTTCCACAGGCCCCTAGTCTAACTTGAGTAAATAGGCCACGGACCGCAAGTCCCAGAAGTCTACGCAGCAGGGTCTACGGGTATTGTGATGCAGCGTGGGACTCTGGGAATTGTAGTAGCATACAGACACTATATACACAAACGGAAGAAAGTATGGAGTGACAAGTATATCAGATTAAATATTTATCTTTACCGTCTCTTTTAAAGATTAACACCTAAAATGTCCATCTCATCAAACTAAGAGTCACCTTTGACTTCTTGACTTTCATCCAGTATGACTAAACTCTAGCTATTCTCTTTAATTTTCCTCAAATTTATTCCTATAAATTTTTACTTTCAAGGATTTATTGGGCTAATCTGCTGTTTCCAATGAAACCTCTAGTTCATCCTCTATATTATAGTCTCGACGATAAATATTGCTTGCACTAGTGGTTCTTCTACCTATAATAGAAGAACCACTTCTATTATATGTATTCAATCACTATGTATTCAAGACTTCCAATTTCATAGATAATTGTAGTGAATCAAAAGAAAGGTATAAATACAGTGGTTAAAATTATAAAATGTCTTGGAGAACAAATAAAAATTTAAAAGTAGCAATCAGTGTCTCCAAGCAGGAGAACTAGATGGCTGAGGGTCAAGGACGGGAAAAAAAAACATTGTGTATTTTTGTGCCATTTGAATTTTGAATCACATATCACTTAATTAATTCATTAATTAAAGAGAGCTCATCTTATATCAGAAGGAGTCAAATTTTTAAAACAAAAATTGTGTATTTGAGGGTCTACACAACTTGGATTTGAATCTCAGTTCTGTTACTGACAATACGGCAGAACATTTTGAAGGCATTCTGGATTTAAAGAGTTGTGGTTTTAGGTAAGTTTCTTTTACTGGTCTAGGACACCTTCCTCAGATGTAAAATGGGGATAATAATTTAGAGTAACAGGGTGATTGTAAAACACTTATAAAATATGATGTAAAGTCACTTCATAATAGGGTAGATATTTATTAATAAATATTCCAGGAAAATCCAGTTGGTTCAGACTTACTCAAAGTGATTTGTATTGCCATGTTCAGCTTAGAGCAAAAGAGCAGTTACTGAGACAAAACAGAAAACCTCTTGCAACCGCATTCCTTCTATCTTGAGAACTTTCAGAAGGCTGAAAATATCATTGTAGGTAATAGAATTATACAAACTATACTAGATGCAATTGACTGTTCTGAAAGCACATAGCTGAATGAATGCAGACATAAGAAATACCAATTTGTAGCTTTGACAAGGAATAGGGACTGAATGTAAAGTGAATCGTATCATAGTTTATATCAAGTATCCCTATAAGGTTGCTGAACTGACCAAATAAACTGTTCTATTGACATATTCATCAATAAGAAAATGGAAAAAATACACCAAGGTTGCTAGTAAGTTGGAAAGATAGCAGAAAGTTGAAAAAACCTTACTCCCCAACACCCAACTTGTATATTTCTAATAAAAAAGTGTTGCTTCTGAAGTGATACACGCTACATGACAAATACACTAGGTGGGATTAGTGGAAAAATGAATGCCTAAAAACATACATATCTGTGGAATTGAAACTGAAAACCAATGTTATTCACCTGTACATAACTGTAGCCAGCCCAAGAGGCAGGTATCAAGGGACATTTGGAAAATTGCAGTAGAAAGAAAACCAGACAATTTCTAGCTCTGCCAAACTTAACTGAATGTAGCAACAGCTATTCTGTTTCCCACAGCATCCCATTCCTCACCTTAAAAGAACAACAGTATTTGAAAAGCTTTGTGATCTTGAGATCTACAAATGTTATACATGGGCACAGAGATCTTCCCATGAGGTAATTTGCCCCTAGAAGAATGTACAACAAACTGAAAAATATGTCCCATTTGTCTGATAATTTAACACCATTAGTTTAATTAAGCTGGAAGTTCATTAGCTTAGACACATATTCAGGACTTGTCCTTTTTAGGCACTTTGTTTGCAGCATACTTCTGATGAACACATTATGAAGCAAATACAATTCCAACATATGGAAGGTGTTAAAAACAAAAATCCCCTTTTGAATCTACTCATTTTCCAATATTAGGAATACATAACCATGATGTCTTTCTAGTTTATGAGATGAGGTAGAAATAATGTTATGGAGAGAATAAGTGTAGCATGTTTTTAAAGTACAAAAAATGGATAAGCAGGGGGCTGGGGAGATGGCTCAGTGAAATAAATGCTCCCCTGGCAAGTGCAAGGTTCTGAGTTCAATCCCCGGTTCCACGAAAAAAAAAATGGATAAGCACTGAGAAAATGTCAATATCACAAACTTAAGAGTTGTCCTTCAGCCAATATCTTAACTGGTTAACAAGTGGTTAGAAGGGGCTCAAGCCTCTGATCCTAAAAAATATGCTGCCTTAACATTACAGACAAACATGGTTTATTTCAGGGCTGGCCAAATAGCTCAGCAAGCTAAAATCCCTGCTTAGGCAGAGCACAGCAGCCGGGGTTCGATCCCCAGCATGCCATGTTGGCCCCACTCCTGGGTCGCACTGAGATGGAGACTGAAACTGGGTGTGGTGGCATGCACCTGTAATCCCAGCTCTTGGAAGGCTGTAAACAGGAGGATCACTACGAGTCTCACCTAGTAGTGAGACCCTAAACACCCTGTAGACCCTGTACCAAATACATAAAAAAATGGGCTATTTCTAAACTTTTGTCTAAGTTTAAAAATGGTTGAGTAAAGACCACAGCCAAATACAGCCTCTCTAGTACCTTAAATTGAGACACCCAGGAAACAACAACATAGCAACTAAAAAAGCACTATTCCAGGAATCAAGAAAAAGCCAACACGAGAATTTCAAACTACATACAATGTGAAGACCACCATAGAAAAGAACTTATCAGTCTGGAACACTACCCTCAGCTCCTTGGGAGTTCATATAACTGCTCTGATAAACCCAGAGTGTCAGCAGTACCAGAGAGAAACAATGGAAGAGTAGCAGTACCCTCAAGAAAAGACTATGGCATTGTAAGGTGCAGATACAGTGTGGCTTTTTTTCCACTCTGAAAATGACTCCTTTCACACGGCAGATGAGATGGAGAATAAATTTACTGCAGTGTCTAAAATACTTTGCACTAATATAAGCAGAAGTCATTTAGGGAAAGGGTTTCTGTTTAAGACTCAGCTACTCTGGAATCAGAAGTCACAACACAGGAACTCTAGGGGTCACCTGCTGACTATAACTGCATGGGGGCCAGGGAGATAGCTCAGTGGCATAAGTTCCTGCCTGGCAAGTGCAAGGTTCCCAGTCCGATCCCCAGCATTGGAAAAAAAAGACAGCATGGAAGAATAGGCCAGTCACAGATCCCCTGAGAAGTTTCAGCGGTAGCATGCTCATGTTGTGAAAGACACAGCAGTCCTACCCAGGCCAGTTATGTGCTTTTCTGAGAGTCTGGGTCTAAAAATGCTGACATTAAGTGCAGCAGATGGTTGTCCCTCTCCCTGTCGCTTATTCCCAGCAGAGCTCAGTGGTCTTTTTTTTTTTTTTCTAAATTGCTTTTTATTTTTAAAGAGAATAAAAAATAATTAAAAATAGAAACAATATAGAATTTCACTAAACAAAATGATAGGAAGTCAACAATGGTTATTATATTGCATAGCTGTCTTCAAATTACTTGCTCAGATTACCAGACATAAGCCTGTATGATTGGTCAAAAAATTATAAAAATTAAAAAGGAGACAGAAAAATTTTAAGCATTAACTGCTCCTTTCAACAGACCAGCAGAAATCAGTAGTACAACCATCCCACCTATCCTATGTACACAAATTATATATTTCTTTGTGCCTTCCTTCCTTCTTTTCTCCTTTCCCTTATCCTAGTTGTTCTCTACCTCTGAACAGTTTCTTTCCCTTTCACAGTATCCATTGTATCTTTCAGATCCTGTTTACTCTTTTGGGTTCTTACACTAGGGAAATAATACAAAGTTTACACATGTGGGTCTGATTTATTTCACTTATGAGCATGGCATCTAGTTGCATCCATTTACCTATAAAAGTCTTGAGTTTATCTTTTTTTGTAGCAGAGTAATATGTCATTGTATAAACAATCACATCATTTACCCATTCCTTAGTTGATGGGCATTTGGGTTATGATGTGCCCATCTAGTAACATAATTGGGAATATACCTCAACAGGGATAACTGCCATATCCTAGGGTGTCCAGGTGGAGGGGCCTCTGGAACAAGAGGGTGCCCCATGAGCCCATAGGCCACACATAGTAGTCAGATAATTTAGGACACACAGAAGAGCACAAACACTAAGAGTCCCTGGAATGAATATAACCTTAAGGCAGACATTACTGACCGACCAAAAAAATTCACTGACCGACCTCACCCAACATGTAATGCAGAGCAAGACTCAGTATTTACACAGCAGAAGTTAGGTATAAACCTTAAATACTCCCAAGCTGTGACGCATTGTTCCCTCACCCATATCTGATAGACTGCAGTGAGACAGGCTTTTGAAAAAACCACTCACTCATACATATACACAGAGGGATTAGTGACTCTCAAAGCACTACTGGATTACTCTGGAATCCACTTACCAGCCTCTGGCATCTTGTACGAACTAGATAAAAGCAGTAGCAGTTCCAGGGCAGACTAAACAATAAGAAAGTATAAGATATACTTTTATATCTTCCTTATTTTAATTTTATATTTATTATAAGGATAATCAGTAGTGAAAAGATAAAGGAATTTCAAAACTTTAGGGTAATGAAATCTAGTCTATCCTCACAAAACATTTTGGGAAAAATTCAGTGTAAACAATGTTCTTGTTTTGTAGAAAAAGTGTACTAACCAAGATGAAAATCATTTGTTCAGCTAATTAGGCAGACAAAAATAAATCCAGAATTTCTTTGAAAACACTATTTTCTTTACTGAATCCATGTGGAATTTAACTTATATGCTGACTACAAGAGTTGAATCTCCAAAAAACAATGGGGAAATATCTTTATCTAAGGTATAATAGTAGCAATATTGAACTAAAAGATTAAAGATCATTCAAAGTTCTACTCAAAAGCAGTGTTTACCCACGGATAACACCAGTAAGATGAAATGGTCTCTGGATTATCTTTAGTCTATAATTTTGAGCGGTAACAAGTACTTACCAGGATAAGAAACTGCTTCTTTGAAAAGTTTGGGGGCCAGGGAGATAGCTCAGTAGAATAAGTGTTTGCCTGGCAAGCACAAGGTCCTGAATTCAATCCCCAGTACCACAAAAAAAAGTTTGAAAAAGAAGAAGACCATGAAAGTTCTGGAATTTAGTCTACTAATAAGACTAGTACTAATATTTTAGAATTATTTTCTTTATATAATATATATCATTTACTATGATCACTTGCAGTTAGGAAAATGGAAATTTAGCTCAGTTATTATGAGAAACCGACCTCCAGTGACTTAAATATTTTTAAGAAGTTTATTTGATATACTTTTAGTTTTTGTGTATCAATTTTATTGATGATTTAAGTGGAACACAAGAGATTAGAATACTCTAGGCTGTGGAGATAGCTCTGTGGCATAAACGTCTGCCTGGCAAGCACAAGGTCCTGAGTTTGATCCCCGGTACCACAAGAAAAAAAAAAAAGCTCTAAAGCTAAGAACAACATAAAAATCATACATCATATAAGAAAACATGACTAGATACCCTGCAATTAAAAAGTAAGTGAATTCCCTGAACCCATTATTTTAAAAATAAGCTAATTCTGGGCCAGAAGTATAGTCCAGTGATAAGGTGTTTATCCATCATGTGTAAAGCCCTGGATATGACCCTTATATCAAAAACCAAACCAAACCAAAGGAAACAAAAACCTAGTTCAAATTCTAAATGCACCCTGTTCACTCCTCTGAATTCCTGCAACATACCTCCTATAGTTCATAACACATTTCCTTGTATTGTCTACATCATTTTTATACAGATAAGAATTAATTATGTCCCTAACTAGACAGTTTCATTGAAGGTAGAAACTTTATACAGTGTCTAGCACTTTACACTGAATAAAACAAGCACACAGTAAAGGCAGGTTGTCATGTACTTTGTGGCAAACATCTCTCCACAATTCATTTGCAGTGAGAAAGAATATATGAATTGGTAATAGGATATGAAATCTAGGTGGGTAAAATATACATCACACACAGAATAAACACCCAATAGATTGCTGCTGGACCAGTAGTAGCTTTTATTTAATTCTGAAAGTAACACTACAGTATAATCTGCAACAGTGCAATATTTCAATGGAAAAAAATGCATGCACACTTTTTTTCAAGCAAAGATTAAGTAGTACCTGTAAATACTACTCTATTAATACCACAAGAATGTATAGGTCATGAATAATCCCAAAAGAGCATGCTAGAGATAAGTCATTTAATTAAAGGAGATCTTCATATTGTGTTGCCACTCCTTGAGAAGACAATCTTCAAAAAACTTTACCTCTTCTACCTTCTTTCGACATGCCTACAGGGGAAAAAGTCACACAATCATTAATAGGAAGTAAAAATGTTCCAGGAACAGAATAACACGTACTGTCCCTCATTATGATTTATAAAACTTTAAATGTCATTTTAATAGCTTTAAGTTTTACAGAATACAAGAAAAAATATTTGGCTGTTTAGAAACTATGAAAACAGTGGCCTTTTGAAATTTTAGGTTTTTTTCTCTTTAAAATGAAAAACGCAAACAAAACAGTGGATAAATTTGTTCCTTTTCCACTCTGCCTAGCTGTCATGCAAATAAGTCTACTTGACACTCATATTTTGTTGGAAAAAACTGTTAGCTGGCTTTTTCATTCGTTACAGCTTAAAAGTACTATCTGAGGGAGTCATTAAACTGAGGGCATACATTTTTGGTGGGTCTTAGGTACCTATAAGCAAGTGAGTATACTGAGAATATTTACATTTCTGATGCTTTCTAATGACTTATTTAACTTGGTGATCCTCAGCTTTTCTCAGGGGCAGTGCATCACAAAATGGCACTGACTTCACCATATAAAATAGCACTCTTCTGTCAGTAAAATAAACTATTGAAGTAAATGTGACAATCTGAGTTTTTAAATCAACATACACAAGTAAAGTTCATCATTGGTTTTAGTGTTCATTAATCCTTAAGAGCATAAGCAATAACTGATGCCCAAGAAAAAAGAAAAATTTTCCAAAAGAAAAACACGATCAATTTAAAAATGCACTTGAAGTTTTTCAAGCCAATTGGGGTAGCACTGATGTTTATTGAATGTGCAAAGTGCACTATTTCATCCTGTTTTAAAGGATAGCTCTTTTGCAAGATCACAGTTTAAGAAAAAGTGATTTAAATGATGGCTGTCTACCAAAAAGCTAGAAACATAGTGTATGTTGAGCCTGGAAAAATACATTTCTCTTTTGCTGTAATAACTAATTCCATAGTTCAAGTTTTTCTCCTAAATTACATTTTTAATGTTACAGAAGCACAAACTAACAGTACCACAAACCATTAACTTGAGATCACATATGTCAATGTAAGCACATTCTTTTAATTTTCTGATTGATACATAGTAAATTCAAAGGTGTATGTTTATAACAATTTTAAAAATCAATAAGATGTCAAGAAACAAAAGTTAGTATTAAGGGAACCATGCTAAAAATATTTTGACACATCTTCTAATTAAATTCCCAGAAATACTTCTGTATTAATAAACTTTAAATTTTTAGGACTTTCATTGCATAACGGTAAACACTGTACCTGCATACATAATAATGCCAGAATTCTGGTTCAGTGATAAACCTCAGTCATTGAATTATGTATTACACTAGCAGGAAAATGCTAATAGCAGTCAAAACTTGTTAGGGAAAATATGCCATATACATTTTGAGATTATTCAAAAATAATGACACTGAACAATATGAAAATAGGAAAAAAATTATAGTCACAATTTTTAAACTTTAGTATATCCGTACAATACAATGTTATACTACAATATAAAAAAATGGAGCACTGATACATGTTACAACATGAATGAATATTGAAAACACTAAAAGAAGCCAGACATAAAAGGCCACATTCTGGGCTGGAGAGATGGCTCAGTGGTCTGAAGCACCTACTTAGAACAAGCTTAAGCTAAGCAGGGACCGCGGTTCAATCCCCCAGCACCACATGACAGCCAGCCCCGCCCCCTGGTGGGCTGAGCTGGCCACACAATAAATAAATAAATAAATAAATAAATAATTTAAAAAATTTAAATACGAGCCTTTTTTTTAAAAAAAAGGCCACATTCAATATGGTGCCATTTCTACAAAATCTGCAGAAAAGGCAAATTATACATACAAAGAGTAGATCAGTGGTTGCTAGGAATTTGGGATAGAAATGTAAAATAACTAAATTAGCAAGAAAAAAAATGTTCTAATAGTGAACTGCATGTGTTTATAGAACTAGATAGTCTTAGCTAAGTGGATAAATGGTTATGATTTATTTGTGTGCTTAAAATATTTTAAAAATATGATTTATTTTGTTGGGAAAGTTTTCGTTAGAATTGCTTCCAGCCAGTCCCATTATGATTTGGGAACCAATTTTTTTTTTTTTTTTGTGGAACTGGGGATTGAACTCAGGCCCTTTTGCTTGCCAGGCAAGTGCTTATTCTACTGAGCCATCTCCCCGGCCCCTGGAAACCGATGTTTTATTCAGCTTAGCCCACTTATAAATACTTCAGGTAAAATTTTAAAGACTTTTAAGAAAGATTATAGGGGCTGGGAAGACAGCTTGGCAGTATAAGCTTCTGCCTAGCAAGAGCAAGGACCCAGGTTTGATCCCTGTGGCACATGCTGTGCCAACCCTGGGAAGTGGTGGCACAGGCCTGCAACCCCAGAGCTGGGGAGGCTGAGACAGAAGGATCATTATGAATCTAACCGTGTACAAAACATGTAAATAGATAAATATTTAAAAGATTATAAAATAAGAAATTTTGTCATTAAAACTAAAGACAGCATTTTACTGTATTTAATTTATTTATACACATTATTGTATAGCATCTCATGCACTATCAAAAAAATCCATTGTACTCTCCTGCTCTTATAGTACATCTCTTCTAGAAAGATAATTGAAGTATTAGGAGAAAAAATATTTTAGTAGAAGAATGGTCAAAAGACAAATGAACAACCTATAAAATGATATAAAACTATCATGAACATTTAAAAACATTTACTATCATGAGTAAACAGAAGAATGAAAATCTGATCAGAGAAATATTACTCTCACCAATAAATCTGGTAAAGGATGATGATGCTATTAATGGTGATGATGGAAGTATTAATACTAGGAGTACAGAAAAATTGGTACTTTAACAAGTTACCAGTGAAAATACAAATTAGCACAACTTACCAAAAAGAAAATATAAATTAAAAGGATTAATTTTTTATTCTTTAGTGAGCATTTTAACTTCTAAAAGTTGTACTCTTTTTTTGTATTTTAGGGAAGGGTGTTCAGGATCTCACTACTAGATCAGACTCATAGTGATCCACCTGTTTGCAGCCTCCCAAGTGCTGGGATTACAGCCCTGTGTCACCATGCCCAATCTCAATTGTCCTCTCAGCACACCCCAGGGGTGAGGCTGGCATGGCAGGCCTGAGGATCGAACCCCGGTCCCTGTGCCTGCTTGTATGTGCTTTAATGCACTGAGCTATTTGGCTGGCTATTTAAAAGTTGTTCTCATGTGTAATAATCATGGCTGGATCTTAAAATTTACCTATAGCTAAGTTTACTGCAGTAAATTTAAGAAAACATTAGAAATATTCATCAATATTTAACAATGGGGTATAAATTTAAAGCCTATAGCATATCCACGCAATGGAATACATACAAGTCATTAAAATGTAGAATATTAAATAACATGGAATGATATTCATGTACACTCTTGGCAGCTTTGTATCTCCATCAAAAGCTGAATACATTCTGCTGTGTACATATGAGTAGATAAATAAACTGAAAAAATATACTGGACATTCAACATGATTGACTAGAGGAGGAGTTGCACGAAAAACACTCAGAGAAGACCCACTGAAACCTCAGGTACCAGAAGCAGAGGAGGGTCTTACACCTTGAATTAGAATGTTAATTGGGAAGATGCTATGTATAGGTGAAAACTAAGAACTGGATCCCTGGAGAGCTAAGCAGCCAGTGTGGCTGTTGTGCATCACCAGCCTTTATGAGAGTACTTGTAATGGCTGAGGGAGAAGACAATGAATGGGTGCTAGAGTGTAGTCCTGGTTCAGACTCTCTGTATTAGCGCTTTGACCACATTAGCTCTAATAAGATGAGAGTGGGTAGGTCAGGGTACTGCAGCCTGACTGTGTCTTCACTAGAACTCACCAAGGGAAAGAGGACTCCTGCAACCCCTAACCTGGACAGAGGATAAATGGTGAACAAGAACTGGGGATTTCCACAGTTCAAAAGCACTCCTGATTATGAATTGCTGAATCCCAAGATTCTAAGCCAGATGCTTCAGAATTCCTAGCAGCTCCACCATCTCCTGCAGAATCCCCAGCCAGAGGGAGAATACATTTGTGGATCCCCAGGCTCCCCTGAGCATGCCGCAACTCCCTGATCTTTGCCTTGTTAGTGAACTTGTCCAGATTCTGCCATCATATGTTCCTAGGCCAAAATGGGCAGGGTAAGATTTGCCCTATAAGCTGGCAGAGTGAATTCATAAAATTGGGTTTGCTTGACCTTGGTAGTGGAAAGGACAGAAATGATACTGGTGTGGTTTCATATAATCAGTCTGCAATTTCGGCAAGAAGGGAAAGGTGTGAATGACCGGCCTTTATGGCAAAGTAGTCACATATGACCTGAACACACATTCTTATATTAACTGTGTCTCTCTTATCTCTTCTTTCTTCTCTTTGTGTTTCTGTGTCTCTGTGTCTGTCTGTCTGTCTGTCTGTCTGTCTGTCTCTCTCTCTCTCTCTCTCTCTCTCTCTCTCTCTTCCCCCTCTCTCTGTGACACAGGGTCTCACTATGTAGCTGGCCTTGAACTCACAGTGATCCTGCTGCCTCAGCCTCCCGAGTACTGGGATTACAAGCACTCCTTCCTTCTCTTGTATTAACTGTCTGGCCTCTCTTTCTATTCTTTTCATTCTTCCTTAAATTACCTAGCCCCTTGTCTTGCTTTGCCTCTTTGCCACATTACAGGTACACAAATTTGTCAATAGGTTCTGACAGCCTTTTAACTTTCCTCAATTGCAAAGTATACTACCCTCCTCTAAAACACATCCTGAGGATCATAAAAATCGTAAAACCTTCAACACTAACCCTTCAATTAAACTAAAAGTTCTCCAATAGAACCTGATCCCATACTAATTTTTCCCCCATTTACCTGGTCCTCTCTATATACAATTATCCTCCTTTTTTCACCCATCCCTTCATCTTTTCTTCTCCACCTCTCTTTCCACATCATAGGATAACTGCTAATAACAACTGAATGTAGGCTATAGAGA